ATCCTGCAGAGCATCAACTGGGGATTCAATTTTGTGGGCAAATTAGCAAATAAACCAAGCTCCTATATAAAACTGAGGAATTCAAAATTATTTTGCTTATGCAATGGGCTGACTCCATCAAACTTATATCCAATTAAACAAGAAACCGTGTGTTGAATATTTCTCAATATAGTGAAATGTTAAAACTACGTCTACTTTAGTCAAAACTTCACAATAAGTTATGTATTCGAAGGGAGTACTACGTACGTCTTCTCGTATTATGTATTTTAACTTACAATTTGTAAAATAATTGAGGTCATCAACAAATTTTATATTACATAGTCAAATTATGGTACATTCACAATAAATTAACAAATAATAATCTAGTCAACTACGATTTGTTCAAACTAATAATTATCCAGCCACTGACCCAGTAATTCATATAGTTTTATTTGCTTCTTTCTATATAAAGTACATGCAATGTGCCATTAATGTTATCAAGTAGTATATCATCTCTTGTTTTTACTTTTATATTTCTCTCTTTTGTATACTAACTTTTGTTGTATTATGGATCCGTATGTTGCCCAAAAATCTACTCCACCTAGTGCACCGTCAGCCTACGGCCAACCACCGGTGACAGGAATACCACTTTCACCTCCTTATAATTATGTTCATAATTCCCAACCACCACCACCATTGCCCCATGCTCATGCTGGCGCTCCAGGGGAGTGGTCTACCGGTCTATGCGACTGCTTTTCCGATGTTTCAAATTGTGAGTTGATATCTAATTTCGAATACTTTCTCTCCTTTGTGTGGTAAAGATAATATGTATTATAGGACACATTTCTCTAATATATTTAACATTTTCAGGTTGTATAACATTTTGGTGTCCTTGCATAACATTTGGTCAGATTGCTGAAATTATAGACAGAGGATCCACGTGTAAGTGAAGAGATATATCTTTCATTTCATGAGAGGATACTATGAATATTAAGTTTTTTAATTTCTAGGACAAAAATTCTATACATTTCCTCGTTTTTCAGAAATATACAAAATTTTCAATCGAAGATATAATTGTTTATGAATTTGGCGTGGCAGCTTGTGGAGCAAGTGGAGCACTTTACACTCTTATAGCCTTTGTTACGGGATGTCCATGCATATACTCTTGCTTCTATCGTTCTAAGATGAGAAGGCAATACATGCTGCCAGAGAATCCGTGTGCAGATTGTTTGGTTCATTGTTTTTGCGAAAGTTGTGCATTGTGCCAAGAATATCGTGAGCTCAAAAACCGTGGGTTTGATATGTATCTTGGTAATAAATTTTCCCTCTGTGTTTAAAATTTGTGTTACGACATTGTACTGTCGCCTATACATGTGTAATAAAATTAATCAATAATAATTTGTTGCGAAAAAAATCCTGTTTTTCAGTTGAGAGATGCTGCAAATCCAGGGCCAAACCAGGCCCTGGATGCACCTCGGCCCTTGATTTTAATTCATGTGGGGTCCTCTTCCTTTAAATCAGGGGCTGGGGTGATGACACCTCAGCCACCTGGATTCTGGTCGGTCCTTCACCCTGGCCGACCAGCATTTTTCTTTTCAGATTACGAGGAAAAAATAAAGAAAATTTTGAAAGGTCTTCCCACTCC